TTTATACTAGGATTGCTCAAAAACTTACATCGCAGTGTCACATTCGAGGTAAGAGGAAAAGAAAAGAATGCGGTAAATTACTGCGAATTCAGCGCGGCAAAAAAAAAAAATACGCGCATGCACTTGCTATGGTAAAATAAGCACACTCACTTTGCCACAAACTAACCAGTTGTGTTTCTGCGATAATAGATAGCCCAGACGCAAATAAAGGCCTGGGATGGTGCACAATATGCTGCGATTACACTTCTGCGATACCATGCTGTGGGGGCAAATCCATAAATTTACATTTCCGAAACAGTGCATAGCTAGGAGGGCAATCCCAAATTTCATGTGCCACACTCCCATCTTTTGCAGCTGCGGCAAACTTGCAAATACAAGAACAAAACAGACGGCACAGCTAAATACATTTTTGTGATTTATGCAGAAATACAGCTAGGTGTACGTAAACGTTAATTATGCGTGTTTACATATATGCAAGTGCATAAACGAATATTTGTCACCATTCCGATGTGTGTGTATGTTTGTATGCGTGAGTGTGTGTGTGTGTGTGTGCGCGTGTGTGTGCGCGTGTGTGTATGTTCATCTGTCCGGATATCTCAATTCAGCAACGAAAGTAAGCTTTGGCACTGAAATCCTGCCAGTGGGTTTCCTGGCCAAGTGCCACTCCAGTGCCAACCGTCACGCACATCTGCGTCCCGCGTGCGATAACTGCTAACTTGGGAACCAGGGAAGCTGGGAAGCTGAAATTTTAAGTGAATATTCCCAGCCCATGTGCAAATTAAGGAATTTAAATTCAGCCCCCAAGCGTGCGTAGTTCCCATATACAGCCCCGTGACAGTTTTTGGTGAAAAATTTGATAATCCGGGAACCAAAAAAGCTAGAAAGCTGAAATTCTGAAGTTATGTTCCCCGTCCACGCGAAATTCAACGATTTCATATTCGGTCCCCAGGTGTGCGTGGTTCCCAAGTACGGCCCTGTGGAAATTTTTGGCGGAAAATTGCTAAATCGGAATCACAAAAGCTAGAAAGCTGACACTCTGAAGGTATAAAGTAACACGTAATTGCGCAAGTAACTTCCTGAACTTCAAGGACCAATATGCACAAATTCAAGCTACTGGGTCCAATTTTACTGCAGCACGAAATACTGCAAAAAAGCATAATCGCACGAGCCCGCCTGGTGCCTGTT